AAAGAATCAAGTAGAAACTAGAGGCTGCTGCTAAATATGTTTTACAGAGGGACTGTATTTGTGCTGCAATCTGCTTAATTTAATTTTAATGCCTTGGGGGTAGGGATGGAAAGTATGCAACACCAAGTTTTTACCTGCCTATCCCCAACACTTAGCAAGGGTAAAGGCCTTTCCTCAGCACGTGCTGTGCATGGGAAAGAAATTCACCTTAGAATGAGGATTGGATGAATGAATGAGCCCACAGGTCACCTATGAAAACAAGACATAAATCCCCAGGTGAAATGTTTTAAACAATAAAAATTTCAAATTAGTGTTCAATACAAGAACTCAAGAGATGGTGCAAATCAGCACATGAGTGCCAGATTAATTGCCAGGCCATAATTTTTAAGAGTTCACCAAGGTGGAGGGGATCAAGTTGAGGACTTGTCAGAAATCCTGAATGGGCTTTTGATAGTGCCCTTGCACATTGCCTTCATTCATTCATCAAATGCTTCCCAGACCCACACTGTGCCAGCCAGCCATGCCCCAGAGAGGCAGAGATGAACACCACGAGGGCCACAGCCTGGGAAAGCTCACAGGCTGGCTGTGCAATAGTCAGTCAAGCAGAAAACGTAAGTGTGATCCGGGGCAACTCTGGGCCAGTGTTCACAGCTCAGATACCCATTTCCTAAACTGCAGCATTGTAGCAAATACTTTTGGTTCTACCTGAACATATTTCTGAAGAAATGCCCACAATCCAACATCTACTAATTCTTAAAATCACCCACATCTTTTCCCCAGCTTCGTCCCTTTATTCTTTTCTCCTCATCTTTCTTGAATCTGTGTGGCAGCCCTCAAAGACTCTGCACTGTCTGGCAGCCGGCCCTTGAAAGTGAGTGGGTGATGCTCAAGTCTGGAAGCCACAGGTCTGCCTGGAAGGGCAGGCCCAGCTGTCTCCAGAACGCTGAGAGCCGCCACACAGCCTTTCCCATGTGTCTATCTGCACCGCAGTCCCTCTAGTCACCTTGGCAACCATGCCATAGCATCCCGGCAGTCATGCCAATGAAAATATGGTTCTCTTAAATGTCCACCAGAGAAGGTGAAGCACACATCTTGGGAAGGTAGCACATTGCTCATGTCCCTTCTGTCACTCAGAAAAGGGGCAAGCTACGGAGGACCCTGGTGTTCAGCCCAGAGCATGGGCAGCAGGAATGCACAGGCACTAGACAAGTGATCCAGTCCTGGACAAGCAAAACCTTAATCCCTGTTGTGCATGTGTGTGAGAGAGAGAGAGAGAGACAGAGACAGAGAAAGAGAGACAGTCAGCCAGCCAGACAGAGAGAATGGAAATTGAACCAAGGGACTTCATGTAGTGCTACATCCCTCACTTCTTTAAATTTTTAATTTTTAAATTTTGAGCCAGGGTCTTATTAAGTTGCTCAATTTCCCAGGCTGGGTTGAATTTACCATGATTCTTCCTCAGTCTCTCGGAATGCTGGGATTGCAGGCATGCGTCTTCATGCCTGGTTTAGAAGTTTAAACATTTCCCCATATATCTGAGACTAGGAAAGAGATTATCTTTTTCTTGAGCTGATGTAAGCTTGGAATCCTCCATGGCCACATTCCCACGCACGCTGCTCTGGGAGAGAAGGTTTCTGCAGTAGAGAGAATGCTGAGAAGGCATGACATAGATGGATACGGAGGAGAGAGGGAGAGAGAGGATAGTACTGACACGATGACATCATTTGAATCGATGGAGAACAGACCAGCGTTAGCCTGAGCTTCCAAGTGACATAAGTCCATTTATTCCCTCTGCCTTAACCTGGAGATCTGGACCTATCTCAGGGGGAGTTGGGTGGGGTAAGGGCCAGCACTGGGGGAAGGAAAGATCTTATTTCTCAAGCAGCAAGAGGGTCTGAAGAACAATTCTGCCTGTGCCTGTAATTACACTGGCTTTGTTTCATGCTTGGCATCCCATTGTCATTGCACTGATAAACATTTAGAAAGGGACTGGATGCATGTCTGGTCACCCGTCTTCCTGTGTGTGTGGAACTGAGTTAGTGTGTTCAGGGATCCTGCCTCCTCTGTGATTTTAAGTCCCCCCAGGGCCTTGGGATTTGTTGCTTTCACATTTTCCCTGTAGTCATGAACTACAGCATTCCCACAGTTATCTTGGTAGGGTGCTTTGTGCTTTGCAAAGCTCATTCCGCTGCATGATCTCCCTTGATGCTTAAGGCCTCTGGGATGAAGCCAGGGCTGTGGTTGCTATTATTGCCTTTCAGACCGAGGCCTCCCCTGACTCCAAAAACGAAGTCCCTGGCAGAGGCTTTATGGTGATCTCACCAGGTAAGAGATTGTACTCAGGGTGGAGTGATCACTGGATCTGGAGTCAGGTAAAGCAGAATTAGGTCCTAGATTTTTATGAACTCTTATCAAATCCATCAAATTTTTCTGAACCTCAATTCCCCAATATGTCAAATGGGGGAAGAGGGATGATATTTTCTTTTAAGGATTGTTACTTCCTTCCAGGAGATGATTGTAGGTTAAGGGGTTTTATAAAGTTGTTAGGGGCTTTGCTCATCCGTTCAAGGATGCTTTATGAGTGGAGGGCAGCAGTGTGCTGAGTACAGAGCACCCTTTTCCCATCGCCACATCTGGGGCCATCATGCTGAACTTGAAATCAACCGCGGGGAGAAGATTACACCAAGCTAATTGACAAATGATGAGAATCAGGGCTTTGTTTCCCCTGCACAGTCAGCTGCTGATCAGCACACTCATGGTGGTGGGATGGAAAGAGAGAGAAGACTAACACTGAAGGAAAGCTGTATCTGTTGAACCTCTTATCATCTCCTTTATTTCTTGCAGCTCCTGGGAGCAGATACTGACCTTACCTCAGGGATGAGGTCATTAAAACATGAGGGTCATAGCTTACTCAAGGACACATAGTAAATGCCAGTGAAGAGTCAAAGGCAGGTTGCACATTCTGTCTGAGTCCCATTGGGTATCAAAGACGCATTCATCAGCATCTGCTTTTATCCTGATTTCTAACTTAGCAGTTGCAGAATTCAGCTCAATGTCATAACATTTAGTGACCTGTTTTGGATTTCACAATGTCCAGTTTGGAACCTGGAAGAAAATGGAGAGAAGTATAAGGCACCGAGTTGGCCACAAGGGGAGGTGCTGACCTTTGTGGAGCTCCACAACTCGGGGTTACTGTTGGATAAATGCCTCCTTACAGTCAGGCACACCATCAAGGACTGAGTATCTAGAGCATGCAGATCTGCAGAGTGAGAAGGTCAAGGCCCACTCTCCTTCCTCCTTCCTCATCTACCAAGGGGGCGCCATCTTGAATGGCGCCTGTGGCCGTGGGGCAGGGTCCCCAGGGCCTCTGGAATCTGTAAGGCAGCATGGATGTGAGGAGCGATCATGTGTCTCGGATGAGAACCTTTCCTCCTGTTGCTAAGAGAGAGAGAACCTTCTGTTTTCCTTCTTCTACATCTCTGGCTTTACACCCTGCAGCCCTTTTGCCTTTCTATTTTTGTACCTCGAGAGCTTCATATAATGATATCTTTCCTGCATGCTTCTAACTAGATGAGGGTGGTAGACAGAAAAGAAAATGGAAATCTGTTTCCTGGTGGAAAAGATGACAGATGGGTTCAGGGGCTGCAGTGGAAACACCACCATTCTTAGAAACGGAGAAGGCTCTGCCTTGCCCAGCGGTTCACAGGCTTGGCCCTGGCTCAGCCGATTCCAGGACAGGCAGATGGGCTGGCTGCAGGAGCAACCAGAGACTGGGAAGATGGACTTAGTACCTTAAGCGCTTGAGTGTTTTCATTTTACCTTCACAATAATTGCATGAGAATATGTATTATCGTTTATGTTTTCTAACTGAGGAAAGAGGATGTGCAGAATTGGGTCCTTGTCCAGTGGCCTTCTCGCTACATAGAAGCAGGGAGGCGGCTGCTGTGTGGGAGTCTGATTGGTTCCTCTGTTTCCACCCTCGCCCCCTCCAGCCCATTCTGGGCATTGCAGCTGGAGGGAGCTTTTACAAAGGAAAGTCTCACTGTCTCCAATACTGTAACACTCACACCCCCAGCTCCTGACCTAACGTGAATCCCAGGGCCACAGTAACCACTCTGCCAGACCAGCCTCCTCGCAAGCTCCCCGCACCTCAGGCCGCCTTCTGGCCGCAAGGTCCTTCAGTCCCTGCAGTTCACGGACACACTGTGCTCTGCCCTGCACTTGCGGAACCTCGCAGGCACTCCGAGGACTGCAGCTGCACCTTGAGGACAGGGTTAGTTTTCCTGCAGGATCTTAGAGGTCTTAAACCTCAGCCTGCTGTTCTCCCCCTGCCATTTCCTGGCCCACATCTCCATCCATTTAAATTTTGGCCAGTAGTGATAATAACTAGCCAACAATTTCTTGCTGATTTACTTGTTTATTTTCTGTATCTTCTCACCAGACCACCAATTCCAGGAGAACAAGTGTTAGTGGTTTCTCTGAAATCTACCCTACTCCACAGAATAGAGGCTGCAGCACAGTAAAATGCACAATAAATATGCATCTGTGTGTGAATTGTTACTGATGTGTAATTACTCCAGAAGGGCAAGCTTGCAAAAGGTCAAGGAAGAAGAGCCTTCTCAGTTGCATCGTGTACCAACTGTCAACTTCCTGCTTTTGTCACTCTCAGGACAAACCTGTGGGAAAGATCACTGGTCTTCCGTTTCTAGAAGGGATGGCTGCTCATTTTTTGGCACGTTGCTGAGATTACAGGGCTCAGCCAGAAGCCCGGCCTGCTTACTGCGGTGCCGCGTACTCTAGGGTGTGCGAAAATGTCTCTGCGGTGGACATGCATGGAAAAGGGTGTGTCTGCGCCGCAAAATCTTGTGTGTGTGAAGCCTCCTGAGGAGGAGGCGGCGGCTGTACCAGAGCTTCAGGCCAAGACTCAGAGGGCCGCCAGGAGAGGGCTCCCCTGATGAATCACAAAGGCTCTACCCAGAACCCAGACCTTGGGGAGCAGACCGCGGACTGGAGCTCCACGGGAGGCGAGGCCCGCAGAAAGGTTGCTGAGGGGAGGGCTGCGAGCGATAGGCGCGGCCGGATCTGAGAGGGAGTGGCAGAGTGGGGCCTTCTCCCCGGAGAGGCTCCTCCAGGCCAGGTCGCTCCCTGACCCTGCTGCGGGAGCTCCCGTCCTGCGCTAGGTGGCGAAATGCGGAGGGGCTCTGCTATTCGGGGGAATGCGGTAGTGATGTATAAGGTATGAAAGATGTGGCCTGCAGCGCGCCGGCACTAGCGCCTCTGCTCGCGGCGGAGCTGCGGGAGTGAGCGCCAAGCTCCGGGATCCCCAGTCCCGCGCGTTCCCGCGCGCCCGGCCCCATACGGACCCTGCGGCCCGGGTACAGGAGCGGAGCCCGCGCGTCCTGCTCTGCAGCCAGAGCATGAGTCTACGGGACTGAGTGGAGAGGGCGGTCCTCGGCTCTGGAAGGTAGGAGAAGGCGCTGCGCCCGCCGCCGCAGCGCGGGAGGCTGGGGTGGCGCCGCCCGGGTGCGCGGGAGTGGCAAGTGACGGCAGTGGGGACCACGCGTGGGGACCAGGGGCCGCCAGGCCGTTCGGGAGCCGCAGGACGTCGGTCTGCCGCTCTTGGGGGCGCGCGTGTCGCTGCGCAGCGCGGGCGGGCGGCTGTGGCTGCGTGCGCAAAGTTTTGGGCAGCGCGCAAGGCGCAGGCGAGGCCGCGGCGCACGTCCGCGCAAGTTGAGGCCGGAAAGCTTGGAAGACCTCAGCGCCCATGGGAGCTCGCCCGGGACCCAGACAAGTGGCTTCTGCTCCCCAATCCCCGCGAGGCTGGATGACACGATGGGGGTTAACCCTTCTCCCGAGGGAGAACTTGGTCCTCTTCGGGGACTGGACTCAGGCGGGCCGGCTGCTTGGAGGCTGCAGCTTGGGCCGCGCTGCCCTTGGCTTAGCGTGTTGGCTTCGCGTGCTCTTTCCATTTCTACCCGTTTGGCTTTCCAGGAACCAGGCAGACTGGCTTGGGGTGCCTCCACCACAGCCTGTGATTTTACCTCTCGGTGCATTGGATGCATTTCCCCCCACCCCTGCTGCCTGGCTCTTTGATGCTGCCTTGAAAAATGAGATGATTAATCAATTAGGTTAGTGGCCAATTAGGCATAACCTTGTAGGAAAATAATTATCCCTGGCTCTCTGGGCTTTCACCGGCGACGAGGTGGGAATCCTACCCGGGTGCAGAGGCTGTTCCAAAAAGATAGGGCCCAGCAGGGAATTTCTGGGAATTTAAGGTTTAAAAGATTGAATGCGTGGTGATGGAGGAGGTTGCAGGGTAGAGTTGTGTGTATGCGTGCGCGTGTGTGAGTCTCTGTGTGTGTTTGCCACGGAAATTAACCCTTGGCGGCACAGTTCGGCGGACTTCGTGGGCTGCGTATTTCCAACACCTAGGGAAGGTATATCCCCGGTTCGCCTACCCTTTGCTTTTTCGGATGGATTCTCTGTGCCAAGGCAGAACCACAGCGTGGTAGATGGAGGTTCCCGCACCGCGCCTTCCCAGAACACACATCTCCCTGATCGTGCTAAATAAAGCGATTGGTAAATGGATGCGGAAAGGAGACAGCTTTCAGGGCTGGGAAGTTCTGGTGCGGCGCAAGGCTGCCGTTTCTTTTCGGAATGCTTGGCGGGGCTTGGCACTGCAGTACAGTATTACAACACAGCCATATTAAAAAGGTCTCCAGTGAGGAGCTTTCCAGCGCTGCGGCCTGACTTCGCCGCTCAGATTTTTCTTGCACGGATCTTGCAGGGGCTTCCACACATGCACCATGTGCATTTCAGCCCCTTTCTGGCTCTGTTTTAGGCTTCCTTCATCTGTTTATACATGTGGACTCTAGCTAGTAGATGTATGTTCAGAGAATAAAAACGGAGAGGTGTTCCCAGGACCGAGGGATTTTTGCAACAGGTCCTAAGGCTGAGATTTCTCCACAGGCATCCCCTTGGCATTTATTGACCTGGGCCCCAAGGCCCCTCCCAGAGACAGAGACGGAGGGGGTTGGATCAGGGGGTCTGTGGAAGCCCCTGCAGTGCTGATATTAACTACAGCTACATTTTATGGCTTTTTTTTTTTTTTTCCTGTCTCAGCTGCGAGGAGGAATAGCTGAGCCCTGCAATGTGACAGCAGCGGTGTCCCTTCACTCTAGGGAAAGGGATGGGTCTAGCTGGGCTGGCTAGCAAATAGAATTGTCCAGTCGGAAGACTGCCTAGTGATATGGTGCCCAAGGACAATTGCCAGCCACGGGCTTCTCCTGCTTCTTCAGAATAAAGGGTCACCATTGAGCCTCTGCTTGGCCAAGGTTTTGTTTTCACTTGAAGCTGGACTCAGCCAGTAGTGTGTGTGTGTATATATATATATATATATATATATATATATATATATACTTTAGCTCTAGCAAAGAACAGGCTTTCTTTCTGAAATTGAATCCCCGCACTCCTCACCATGGTAAGAATGAGTATGGAGGGAGAAGGGAATGGTAGTGATAAGAGAGATACAGAAAGACGGTAACTTAAGTCTTCAAATACATCCAGCAGTAGGAAAGGAGAGAAGAGGAGAGGAGATGAGCAGGGAAGAGGAAGAGTAGGGGGAGAAAGAAAGGGGGAGGGAAGAGGTGAGGAGGGTGAGGGGGACCCCACCACCGCATCAGAGAGGGACAGAAGAGAGAAGAGAAGAGCTGGGTCTAGAGATAGAGATCAGCATGCGCGGGACACAAGTTCATCCTGAGGTTTGGAGAAAATGTTAAGGGAGACTCGAGAGCACACAAGACTCCTTCCATACAGATCTGCCTCCTGGAGCTCTGTTCTGACAAAATCAGGCATGTACCAGGCTCCATTTCTTCTTAGCTTTTCTTTGCCTGAGATTCCAGTTGGTGTGGAAGGGGTTGGGGAAATGGCAGGGTCTGTTTGCAGAATCAGAGAGCAAGCTGCCTCCTTTCTTGGGGCACTTCATTCAGAGAGGTGAGTGTCTGAATAATTTTGAAGGAAGTGTTGTTTTTTAGATTTTTACTCCACAGAACAGACAACTTTTTAAAAAGTGCATTATTGGTTTAACTTTGGGGGAAAAATAAAAATGAAGCTTAGGGTACTAAACACTGTGGCACCCCACTAAGAATGGATGAGAAATGATTCAAGTGGTTTTCTCCTCTGAGCCTCAGGTCCTGACTGGGGCCCATCCTCTGAGTCCCAGCTCCTCTCTTGGCCCCAGGATGGCCCTTCCACATTGTAACAAGTGCTTTCTAAAACTTGACTCTGATCCTGTTACCCACCAAATCAAAGACTAAAATCTCCCTGTTGCTGAAAGCATATGATTCAAATTCCAGACCACAGACTTAAAAGTTTTTCACTGTCTGGCCTTCTTGCCCTGCTAACATGCTTGTTGCACACATACACACACTTATTCTATGCATACCACACACACATTATACACATACATGTGCCCAAACACAGATACCTCACATATGCCCAGGTATTGGAAACCCTTAGAGACATGAACATAGCATCTTACACACCTTTGCACACTCATGTACAGTGCATTCATCCACCCAGCTTACATGCATATATAAACACCCGCATACATGCACATAGCATCATATACTTAGGCTTACTACATTCACACCCACACACTTACACACATGCATAAGCACACCTAAGTACCACACTTAGATTTACCCTTATACTTATGTTCAGTGTTACACTTGTGTACATATATACAAGTTCATTAATCTATGCATGTCTTACACAATGTATGCACAAACACTGACACACTCATGCATACACACAGATCACAAACCTTAACATGCACTCCAGTTATCTTCACATGCCAACTTGCACACATACACATTTTCATACAACTATACAATCACCTGATACACATTCGTGAACATATACATGTGCTTGTACACAACACCCTCCCCTGTGCATATACTATGTCCATACCCGCATCCCTAAGGGAGTCACACAGTCATGCACACACCAGTACATGCAGCATCACATACCCTTTCGTACAGTGCACACCACACTCATGTGTTCCTACCACCTTTGCACCCCACATGTGCCTGGATACTTTTGCAGGTGTTACTTTCCCTGTCTGGATCACACGTTCTTATTCCTCAGCCCTGTGAGTGCTGCATACCCATCAGGACCTATCTCACAAGTGACATCCACTTCAAGGTCCCTGTCCCTTGGTATGTTGTTGCTCTCTCTTCACACAGCTCTCTCAAGGTCTCTACCTGTTCATTTATGCTACCAGATCACACATCCCACAAAGCATTGACTCATGAACCTTGTTTGATAACCACAGTCATTTTAGGAACTTTGGCATGATAATTAACACCCTTAACATCTTTCTCACTCATTACTTATCTTCTCCTAATCTCTTTTTTTTTTCACAAGAATAATAACAGCTTTTAAGAAACATAAAAGATACAGAAGCTTTTAAGATAGAAAGTAACACCCCCCCCACACACATGTCTACCCTCCATGCTGGATGCTTATGTTAGTAAGCTTTGGTATTGCCCAACTGTATGGAGCCAGCTTGAAGTGGAAAGTGTTGTACCCAGATTTTGGGCCCAGGGCTTATGCTATATCCTTGCAAGAGCTCATCCCAGAAAGCAACAGGAACGTTCTGTCTTTACTTTAGTGTGTGACTTAATGGTGCAGATGGAAGCTGGATAATTGTAGGTCCTCCTGGAGAGGAGTGGGCTTTGAGGGCACTCAGGTCTGGAGGCTACAGAACCTGAAGGGCCTTATTATGTGAGACATCTGCATTGAGAAATCCCTCTATCTCCCAGTCCTGCTCATCAGCAGGAGTGAGGAGTTCTTTGAATCAGAGCCATGGACAGAGCTTGTAGCTTGTGATGGGATGATTCTGGACATCATTCATAGTTCTGTGGGGCTAATATGAAACTTGATAGGATAACTGAAGACTGATGGGATAGCTGGAGATGAGGCCGTGGACACTGGAGGCCTCCAGAGCGTGGCTTTGATAACATCTGCGTTCTGGGTACGGCAGGGCAATTATAAGTCCCCTTACAGCTGGTTTCCAGTATGTCAGGCACTGGTTTGAGCATATTACCTATGTCATCTCATTCTGTCCTTCTAGAAATCCAAGGGTAGTGCTTTTAGCCTCACTTATAACAATGCCCAACACAATAAATATCAATAAAATATTCTTTTAATGATTAGAAAACAAAGCCAAGTATCAGAGATATGGAGTAACTTGTCAGAGATCAGCAGGTAGTGTATTTCAGAGCTGGGATCTGAACTCAAATCTTTTTTTTTTTTTTTGGACAATAGAAACTATTCTTTTGACTATTCTGTGCTTTTCCTGGATTGCTATTCCTGGCCAGAGCTTGAGCTTGTAGATCCTCTCATCCAATTCCTTTATTTCAGAGAGGATAAAATTTATTATGTGCAAGGTTCTACTCTAAA